TGTGTGTGTGTGTGTGTGTGTGTGTGTGTGTGTTGTTATGTTCGCTGTACACAGCTCCACAAGGAAAAGCATGACTGTGCCGCTCTGTTTCGTTAGACTTTCAGCGACTCATCAGGAGGTTGAATCTCAACAGTCTGCCCAGGATGCATTTGACTGATCGATAAGGACTCGCCATGTCCCCCAGACTTAGTGATACCCCTGAGAAAAGTGGTCGACTTTACTCCCACCAACCCTGCAATCATAGTGTGTGTGGGTGTGAGAGAGAGAGAGAGAGAGTTGGTGAGCAGACATTGCTTGGAGAATCAGGGGGGGGGTCCTTCTTCTTGCTCTTTTATTGTTTTGTGTTCTTGACTTCCTCGTTGATGTTGCGGGAAGAAGTGGCAGTATGCTGATTGGGTATGTGCTGATTGGGTATATCATGCATGATTTTGTGGGGTGGGGCATTGTGGGGGTCAATTGACATTCCGTTTGTCGGGTTTATCATGCAGGAGCTTCAGTCGATGAACATTGTTCCAAGGTTGACACTGGCAGAAGCTTAGCAGTTTTGCGCTCTGGAGGGGGATGGCACCTGGAAGAACAGGAGGGGTGAAAGACAGAGAGAGAGGGGGAGGCTATGACGGTCGGCAAACAGATGAGCTCTGTGCAGTCCATGTTGTTTCCATTTCTCGATGTGATGGATCACCTTTTGCTTGCCTGTTGCTGAAAACCAAGGAAGGAATGTGATGTGGGAGAATCGGAAGTGAGTTCATTTCTTCGTTAGAAGGGACCCGTATAGGAAAAGCAATGGAGGGAGGAGAAGGGGAGAGATGTAGGAGAATCTGAAGTGAGTTCATTTCTTCATTAGAAGGGACCCGTATAGGAAGCAATGGAGGGAGGAGAAGGGGAGAGTGTAACGATACCAATTATTGGTGGAGGCAGGAGAGCGGTTAGCTCCTCTATCGACTTCCGGTTTTCAAATTTTGCAGAATGTGTCATTTGGGAGGTGGGTTCTTTGGACTGAATTGCAGCGTGAGTGTAGCGGTTCATGGCTTATGTGTGCGCTTAAGTTACGAGTGTTGTGGCTGGCTTAAATGGTAGAACCCTGCAACTGCTAATCCACAAAATGAGAGGCCGATTTGTGCCCGTTCACACTGCTGTACGTACTTAGACACTTGCCACCTGTCTAAAAATGGTGGTAATCGCAGAAGTGCTGACGCTTGAAGGGGTACTCAGTATTTACTATTTACTATTTACAGAGTCGACGTACCTGCAGAGGGCCCAGCTTCCCAGAAGTTTCAATTGCTGAGGGTGCCACTTAGCTGGCAGTGGCGGCTGCAAGAGTGTGTGTGACAGAGTCAGAGGAGTTGCAGCAATGAGCTGTGGCTTTTGTAAAAGTGAGTTTTGTACGCTATTTGCAAAATCGAGCCGGAAACCTTAGAGGTTATAGAAAAGGAAAAGGGTTATGGGTGCCAACTTGTTAAGTTGTTCTAACAGTGCTAAGTAGCAGGGGTTATTGCGAGGGCTGACGCAGGACCCTTGATTGGATGCAACTTTCCTTGAGAGTGGAGATCACCTACCTGCGAGAGGGTCCAGTATGACCCGTCCTTCCTCCGACTCCCGGCTCACTTCCATACATGCACTTCTATATATCCACTCTTCCCATGTATGTGACCGAGTCGCTATGCAAAAGTCTTCAGGGGGGAAAATCACCGAAGAACAGCGGCTTACTTTGCATATACCCCCCCCCCCCCCACCCCCCTCACCTATTATCCTCCCTCCTCATGGTTGGAGAAATGTGGCGTATAGCCGTCATGCGTATACCCCGCCCTATAATGGAGGTATCCTCCCACCTCATGGTGTCGTATACCCCCCGGCCGGGAATGAGGTGGTCATCCCTGCAAATCCTCCGAACCACAGGGAGGTATCCTCCCGGTCTCCTCCCTCCTCATGGTTGGAGAAAAAGTGGCATACGGAACTGGTGGTCCTCAGGTCTCTGGTGCCAAGAATTGTGTGGGCGACAGATCACTCTTACTTCACGGATACTTCGTAGTGGCAGCAGAGTGGACAACAGAGCTATGTCTACGCACATGCGAAACTACCCATGGCTCACAGCAGACAGTGGAGCTTTACGAAGAGTGGATGGATTTCTCGTTGAGTCCCGTCGGTCGAGTGGATGAAGCAGCAGCGGTCTTGTTTCCCATCCATAATCGCCACCCGTTGTTTGACGCACATTGTGAAATGGCACTGGAGCACGGGGAGTCGTCATATGTTGATTGGCGAGGGGAGGGAGGACAGCAAATAACTTTGTTAAAGCACCAGTACACCACATATCGGCCCGCAGGTGTCAGCACGAAACCCGCACCACTTCGGAGGCTGACGATTTTTTTTTTTGAACGGCGGGCCTGGCCGCTCGGCGCCCCTGAGTTTTGCTTCTGGCAACAAAAACTTTCTGTGAGGCTGGGCCGTGTGCTAGCGGTTTAAGAGCTCTGGTGTGAAGGGCAGTTTCGCAATTGTCGTACATGGATTGCAGAGGGGAGGGAGGACAGTAAGCAAGTAAGTAACTATGTTAAGGCCTCTGGTGCAAAGTCTGGTTAAGGCCTCTGGTGCAAAGTCTGGTTTCGGGAAGCAAGAGCTATGGATGCAATGAACTCGATGATTGCTGGTGATGAGCAGCAAAGGTATATACTATATATTAAATACAGAGTGGAGGAACCAGCAGTCTGGTGCACTCCTACCTGTGGTAATCTCTGAGTTTCACCCGCACGGTGAAATGTTAAGATGAGCCAACCACAGGGAGTTATCGTTCATACCATACATCGACTGGAATGACCTTACGGGACCTAGATTCCCTCAACCCAGTGCAGAGGACAGTGTTGAAGAGGCAGATCTATGACACTGTGAAGTGAAAGCTCATGATCATCAGCGATGACCGGCAGAGCTAGACACTTGAGCGGACGAAGGCCCGATCTGATCGGTGCAGTCTTAACCAGTCTGTGAGCATGCCAGTCGAAGAAGGAGCAGACTGGTGTGCTCATTACCTGCTTCTCAGACCTGCCTACACAGACAAGCCAGAGAGGAAGATAAGGTACAAGGAAGGATAGAGAATTACGTTCATCTTTTCGTCTTTCTTTTTTGCCACGCATTTTGCCAATCGAGTTCCCAGTCCTGCGGGATTCTGATCCGCATTAAGTGTTAATTGACATCACAGCACTTACGAGTCACGACCGAGTTTAGATGCGCAACCGCATGCTATGCTTGTGCACAGGCAGGCCTTCGGCTTCGCCCACTTCGTGTCCTGAGGTTGCCTGGGGTTTTCTCCATGATGGCATGGAAGAGGAGGACGGGGAGGAAATGTATTATGAAGCCAAGTGTCCCGTCTCAGCAGGCAGGCACTGCAGAAGGAGGCATACAAGTACCAGACCCCTTAGTCCCTTCGATCTGGGACGGATCTCGGACAGCAGGTAGTCAAAGAGGAGGAACAGTATAGGAAGCCGTGAAGAAGATTCGCCATTATGTCGACGAGCTGACAGACTGATGTTATAACCTGTCGGTCCCTTTTCTACGGAAGATGTGTTGAGAAGATGGATTGGGTGCAGCACTTTTTTTTCGTGATACAGGCGGACCAGTGATGAGCAGTAGGTGGCCTCGTTGCTACTCAAGCGGTGATCTTCAGCAAGACCTTGTAATGAACGAAATGACGGGAACATAGGACAGGTTGGTAGGTTGGCCAACCCGTCGTCGTCAGGTTCAAAATGGTCCTCGATATGTCCTACTTGTATGTCTGTGGGATCTCATGGTATGGCTGGTCTGATCAAGATGGTTGGTTGCCTCCCACCCATCAAGTGTTTTCCGAAGTTGGCCAACCCGGGCCCTCGTCTTGGTTTTCAGGAGGGTCCTTGGTGTGTCTTATTTTTATGTCGTACGGGATGCGACTCATTGGAAGATGTGCCCTCTCAACTTCCATGTGATAGTAAAGCCTAATACGTCTTTCAGCCTAATACATTTTTCAAGGTTTCATGTGGGTGCCCTATTTTTATGTCTGCGGGATCCGAGGGGCGTGACAGATCCGATCAACATGTTTGGTTGCCCACCCGTCAAGCGTTTTGCTGAGTGCTCATGTATACATTTGTGGAGTAGGTGGGTAGCGCTTTGCAGTCCAGCTTGCATTCATGTGGACGTCTGAGAAGGAATGATAATTAGTGTGTGTTGGCTGAACTTCGGACCATTCAGATATTCTCAAATGGCAATCAATTTTCAAGGACGAAGAAAGGAGGAGGGAGGAAGTAGGAAAGACGGAGGAAAGAGGGAGGAAGGAGGGAGGAAGGAGGGAGGTGGGAGGGAGGTGGGAGGGAGGTGGGAGGAAGGAGGAAGGAGGAAGGAGGGGAGAGGCACTCATGAGATGCAGTATGGGTGCTCCTTCACATATGTTAGATCTGGGCCTTGTTCGTCCTTTGGTTTCTTGCTTATTCTCTTCTCCTTATTGGCTATCTATCCTTTGCTTTGGTTGTTGGTTCTCTCTTTTCTTTTTTTTTCCTTTTTCTTTTTTTCCCCTTCCATCTCCCCCGTCCATGTTTCTTCTGTGCATTGGTTTTTGGTTCATGGACTACCAGCTCACATTTATTTTCAGGTGTCTACTTTTGCCTGCCTTTCTCCTCTCACTGCTTGAACTTTGAAGATTAGGTTGGTCTTCGGGACGTGCGTTGAAAATTGAAATTGGAATGAATCCGAATGATACAGAGAAGATTAACATGGCCCTTGGTCTTCGGGACGTGCGTTGAAAATTGAAATTGGAATGAATCCGAATGATACAGAGAAGATTAACATGGCCCCTGGTCTTCGGGACGTGCGTTGAAAATTGAACTTGGATAGACACACATAAATCGAGAAACGGTAAAGAACGAATGGGGGGGGGGGGGGGGGGGGGGGAAGGGGAGGTAAGAACTGTTTGGGTGAAACTAGTCTTATTTCAACAAAATGCTAACCTTTTTTCATGAGTCGTTGGCCAGTTTTTCCTGTTAGCCAAAAGTGATTGAAGAATTTACAGTTAATTGGCAATGATTATTTTGCCGAAATGGAATTGAATTAATAATTTACTACTTTTTGCAAAGAACCAGTATGTGAGAGCACGCAAATTCCGAGGAAGAGCGCAATGATGCAAAACATTCGAGGTGCAAGACCTCAATGAAGACCGGTCATGAGTTGGTCAAGCTGAAAGCAGAATGACAAAGCCAAAAAGCGCGCGCACCAATCCAAGAACGCACCGAACACTGAAGCCTGTTGATAAGGAAAGGCTGGAATGCCCTCTTCATGCCGCCAACAATCAATACAACAACATAGTAAAAGCCCTAGCTATGCTGTACTGTATGAGAGCGACTACTTGGTTCCATCTTTTCATCCTGCCTGACATTGACCATTTATGGCAACACGGCTATTGATTCTTAAACCACCAGTACTTGGCCCAGCTGTCGGCCGTGGAAAAAAGTCGAGTAGAAACGTTTCTAGTCGGATGAATTTGGGCGCGCCTGTAGTAGCCCGTACGTTTCTTAAAATCGTGGCATGTTAACGGGCACGGCTCTAGGAAGTACTGGTGGTTTAAACAACAAAACTTCCAGTTCAGCAGTACAGGCAGAAAAAAAGTAGAGTAGAAACATTTCTAGTCGGATGAATTTGGGCGTGCCTGTAGTAGCCCGTACGTTTCCTAAAATTGTGGCATGTTAACGGGCACGGCTCTAGGAAGTGCTGGTGGTTTAAACAACAAAACTTCCAGTTCAGAAGAACAGGCAGACCATTGACCGTCAAGGACATCAGGCGAGGCCTAGATTCCCTCGTTCCAAGAGCGAATCATCTTCCCAAAGTGACGGTCCATGTTTTTGACTTTCCATGCTTCTATTCTTCCGCTGACCTAAGGCTGCTTACGAAGAAGACTTCGTGCAGTTATGAATACATCCAGGCATGCCACAGGCATGTCGGACGCTGCAGGACGCACGGTGCTTTGCCACCTCTGGTTGATTCGAACCCCTCCCCCCACCGGACCCCCGGGCCCCCGCCCCTGGGGCTAGACAATGGTCCGGACTCGATTGGTGCACCCATGAGATGCTGAAGTTCAGAAGATTGAAGTAGGTGATTGAAACAGAATAGGTCTTAATTGCCTGGCCGGTCAGTTTGATGATGATTTCCCAAGGGCACCGGCATTTTTTTCAAAAGAATGAATGTTGACCAAACACCAATGGACCTAGCTCAGTTGGCGCACTCGTGAATGAACTGCTGAAATACAAACCTTTTTAGAAGTTGTCAGATGGTTTAGCTATGATGGTTGCGTCACTTGTACTTGCCACGCTTCCTTACTCAAATATCAATTTTTATATAGGTCTAGATGGGATTTCTTTATTCTTTGTGGTGTTGACTACGTTCTTAATACCTATTTGCATGTTAGTAGNTTTATTCTTTGTGGTGTTGACTACGTTCTTAATACCTATTTGCATGTTAGTAGGTTGGTCTAGTATTCAAAATTACAAGAAAGAGTACATGATAGTTTTTTTAGTTCTGGAAGCTTTCATGATTGCTGTGTTTTGCATGTTAGATCTTCTACTTTTTTACGTGTTCTTTGAAAGTGTTTTAATCCCTATGTTTATTATTATAGGGGTATGGGGTTCTAGACAGAGAAAAATATGAGCAGCACATCAGTTTTTCTTATATACTTTACTTGGATCCGTTTTCATGCTTTTAGCTATTTTATTGATTTTGTTTCAAACGGGAACCACTGATTTACAAATTTTATTAACAACAGAATTTAGCGAACGACGTCAAATATTGCTATGGATTGCTTTTTTTGCATCTTTTGAGATGCATGCAAGAGTAATCACAAAGGACACGAAGTACATGATTGCTACAATTCCGGCGCCTAGATACATATTTATTTTGTGTAACAATAGAATACATGATCTATAATGCATATTATAAATACTAACAATGTATATTCTAAATAATAAATACTGTATTACATAGTATAAGAATATTCACATTGAAGTATAGAAGGAATTTCTATTTATGTATTATAAAAGAGCAATAATTCCATCAATATCAATTCATTAAAATAGTCATTACATAATAATGATAATAAATCATACAAATTAATGAAATCATCAATAAAATAGACTATCAGAAAATAATATATGTATATGCATATATATTATACATAAATAATATATATCTAAGATATACTATACAATAATACTACGCAATAAATTTATATACAATGAATTGAAAGATTGAAGGCGGGTAACGAGAATCGAACTCGTATCAACATTCTGCCATTGAACCATACCCGCAAAATCTATTAAAAAATTGGTATCTAGCAATTATACAGTAAATTCAATAATATAATAATTATACGTGTAAATAGTTACTATCTGCCAAATATATATATATATATATTTGACGATATATATATATATGGCAAGAAGAAAAGAAAAAAATGAATGATTTTTACTTTAAAAGTAGGTGATTCAATTTCATTTTCTCCAATGAATATTAATTGAAATTTTAATAGAATACAGTTTTTTCAACAAGCGAATAAATCAATCGTATTATAACAAAAAGAGAAAAATACGTTACATTTAAATACAAAAAACACAATGATTCAATGGAATTAAAAATGATTTCTCTAAAATATATAAATAAAGTAAATAAATAGACAAATCAATTAGATCAGTAATTAATGAAATTTTATCTTGAGTGGCACCCGGTTGGTATTGCCACACGGTTGTCCACGGGGAGAATCCTGCCAAACCTTATTCCTCCTTCGAATTCATACTCTAACCACATCTCCCACTTCCGCCGTTGACCTGCTCCCATCTCCGGAAATGAAAGCAGACATCGTCGCGTGCACCCATGAAGGAACTGTTGGAATATGTACCACTTTAAAAGTGGTTGGATGTGGGCATCAGTAGTGATATCTCAAGGGTCATTACCCTTTCGAAAAAGTTAACAATGACATCTCAAGGCCATTGACCTTTCGAAAAAGTTAAAAAACGTAGACCAAACAAACTTGTTGTGGGCAGGTACAGTCTTTAGAGAATTTTAGAGCGTTTTGTTAGGGTCCTTAGGGATTCCGGGGGTTTTGAGCATTCAACGGATTTATCGAAGCCAGGTGATGGCCCTGGTATTTCAAATGACTTGTATAATTCAATATGGGACGCTGGGCCCGGTTCCCAGCACGTGCTGCTCCCCATGAATAGACTGGAGCAAAAAGTCCAGGCAGCGGCCGATGAGCTGACAAGATAGTTAGCCCTTCCAGTGGACAGCCAGTGTGATTGCAAAAGTAGATCTTTGGGGAAGTTGGGAGTCCCACTGGCTGATGCCTCTCCTCTCCTCTCCCTTTGGGCAAGAAGACTAGACCCCCAAGGTTCACCACGTGGGTGCAGAACGAGGTTTCTATCCGCAGTGAGTGCATGGAACTCCGCTGATACAGGAGCCCATAAAAGTTAAGACCTGAGCTGAAGTCCCAATTGAAATAGATGAGTGAACCCAACTCTCAAGATGATATCTCAAGGCTGCTAGAAAGAAGAAAAAAGATGTTGAAAACCTTAAGCACCAATACATCTGAGTCGTCCTTTCCTGATGCTCAATTTCACTCACCCCCGTACTCAATTCAACCCAGGGAGCATACGGTGGAACCGGTAAACCATTTAAATCTCTTTTCGAATGGGGCAGAGGGTGCGTAGTACCTACCACACTTTGCACCTACCAGCAGAGGGGAAGGAGCCTAAATTGACGGACTTGGACCGTGAAACCAAGCACGTCGGCGCTGACGTCGCAGACTTGAGAGTTCAGGACACTTCTTCGTGTGTTGTACGCTCGACGAACTATCCGCAGGGTTTGGCCTGCTAGCACCTCAGACTTTGTAGTCTCTGGTCAGTTGAAGAACCTGATAGACGGCCCGCAGATTTCGGGGCAAGATTACTTGAAACCCTGTCCGTTTAGGCATGAAATTGTCGATTATGATTTACAGGATTGAAGCTCCCATCGTAACTCCAAAAATAACACAACAATTTCACGTACTGCGGCTATCCATGCGGAGACTTTTCTCGGGAAGGCCCCCCACCCCAACATTCTCCCGACAAAAAACCACGCACCAATGTTGCAATGACAATGATCAAGTCGATTTCCTAGTTTAGCCTCTCGTGTGTTTACCGCAAAAAAATTGCTGGAGTCACTTTTGGCATTTCCTTCCTTATGTGATCCTTGTGTGCTGGATCACTGGCCC